CCTGCCAACTGAGCCTTGCGGTGCTACGTCAGAACGCTGACAAGGTCAATCCCTTTGATGATGATTTTGATTATGCTACTGAGTTTGCCAAACTGGATGGTAAGAACCAATCTCCCGTCTTACACCACCTTGGGTAGATATAATTGCTGACCAATTCGCTCGACAGTGGAGCAACTGAAGAAGGATTTTGCTGAGCTTCAGACAAGCTCCCAGGACTGGTGGCCAGCTGACTTCGGTGATTATGGCCCGTTCTTCATCCGCATGTCATGGCACAGCGCCGGCACCTACCGCCATTTCGATGGCCGTGGAGGTGGTGGTCAGGGCCAGCAGCGGTTTGCCCCCCTCAACAGCTGGCCGGATAACGCGAGTCTGGACAAGGCCCGCCGACTGCTCTGTACGTTCTCCTCTGCCCCAGTATCGCCATGATGCCTCGCATACTAACTCCTTCTGCGTCAATCAGGGCCCATCAAGCAAAAGTATGGCAGGGCTCTTTCTTGGGCCGATCTCCTCGTCTTCGCGGGCAACGAGGCTATGAAGAACATGGGCTTCCCCATCCATGGCTTCGCCTTTGGCCGTGTCGACACCTGGCAGTCTGACGAGGGCGTCTACTGGGGCTCCGAGGAGGAGTTCTTCTCCAAGAATGCCAGTGACTACGACCGTTACGACGGCAGCACTGACATCTACGAGCGCGCTGACAAGCTCGAGGAGCCTCTTGCTGATACCAACATGGGTCTGATCTACGTAGATCCCCGTGGACCCCATGGCACCCCCGACCCCAAGGCGTCCGCACTTGACATCCGCGTGACATTTGGTCGTATGGGTATGAACGACGAGGAGACCGTTGCCCTCATTGCCGGTGGCCACGCCTTTGGCAAGACCCATGGCGCCGTGGTTGGTGACCAGATTGGCCCTGAGCCCAACGGCGCAGGCCTCGAGCACCAAGATCTCGGATGGATCAATGGACGCGGTTCTGGCGTCGGCACTGACGCGTACACCAGTGGACTTGAGGTTATCTGGTCTGAAACGCCTACAAAGTGGGCCAACGGTACGTCGAACGGATGTGATTCCAAGCAGAGCTGAGGATCGGCTCTGTGAAACTGAGATTAAGTTTTACTAATGTATAATGCCGCCGGCAGAGTTCCTCCACTCGCTTCATACCAACGAATGGACCCTTGTTAAGAGCCCTGACGGCGCTCCTCAATGGGAGGCCCTCAGCGCCAACGCGTCCTACCCAGACCCCTTCATAGAGGGCAAGTTCCACAAGCCTACTATGCTTACTAGCGATCTGGCCCTCATCAAGGACGACATCTACTACAACATCTCCAAGACTTTCCTCGATGACTTTGACCTTTTGACTGAGAAGTTTGCCCTTGCTTGGTGTAAGTACCCCACTGAAACAAGACAAAACACAGCCCACCTGGCTGGAGCCATGACTTCTGGGTCGCTAATCATCCCCGTCTCATCATAGACAAGCTTCTCCACCGTGACATGGGCCCTGCTTCACGCTACCTCGGTCCCGATGTCCCCAAGGACGTCCAGCTCTGGCAAGATCCCCTGCCAACTGTGACCTACCAGAAAATTGACGACAGTGACGTCGCCACCCTCAAGTCGGAGATCCTTGCCTCTTCAAACCTGAACGTGTCCAGCCTCATCACTACCGCTTGGGGCTCGGCCGCCAGCTTCCGTATTTCTGACAAGCGTGGTGGTGCCAATGGCGCCCGTATTGCCCTTGAGCCGCAGCGCTCCTTCAAGGCGAACAACCCTGCCCGTCTCGAGATTGTCCTCAAAGCTGTACGTGGCATCCTCCCTCTCCCTTGCTGATCGTAAACGATGGGTGATCCGCTGCGTGTTTGAAGTCGCTAACCGGCTGTCTCGCCTCGCAGCTCAACGAAATCAAGGACAAGTTCAACTCGGCCAACACGGAGAAACAGGTATCTCTGGCCGACCTGATCATCCTTGGCGGAAATGCCGCTGTGGAGAAGGCTGCCAAGGATGCCGGCATTGACATCACCGTCCCCTTCACTGCCGGCCGCGTCGATACGACCCAGGAGCTCACCGACGTCACCACCTTTGCCCACTGTACGTTCAATTCCCCCAAGCTAGGATGCCCATTTTACCCACTAGAATAATACTAACTTACTCGGTTGTAGTGGAGGACAAGGCCGATGGCTTCCGCAACTACGGCGTAGGCAACAGCCGCTCCAACACCGAGGAGATCCTCGTCGACAAGGCCAACCTGCTCAACCTCAGCCCACCCGAGCTGACCGTCCTGATCGGCGGCCTGCGCGCCCTCAACGCCAACTACGACGGCTCGAGCTACGGGATCTTCACCGAGCGCGCCGGCACGCTGACCAACGACTTCTTCGTCAACCTGCTCGACATCCGCACCGTCTGGAGCCCCGTCGCCGGCAGCAACGACGAGTACTTCGAGGGCAAGGACCGCTCCAGCGGCAGCGTCAAGTATACCGCCACCCGCTCGGACCTCATCTTCGGCTCGCACCCCGAGCTGCGCGCCGTGGCCGAGGTGTACGCCGCGGGCGACGCGCAGGACAAGTTCGTCAAGGACTTTGTCAAGGCCTGGGCCAAGGTCTCGGAGCTGGACCGCTACGACATCAAGGGCCGCAAGCAGAACAACGTACACTAAGCTGCTCTGTGCGACGAGAGAAAATGTGCCGCAAGGCTCTAGATGAATAATACCCTTGTAGTACATTGCCTAAATGCTAATATGCCTGTTCCGCCTCTTTGACACTTATCCCATGCCTTTCGTGTAGCTTCTTGATCTGTAGGAGACGCCCAATAAGTCCTATTTTAGTTATTTTATGCATGACCTAAGCTGCATAACGACTTTGGGGCGTTTGGCTGTAATTAGGTGGCGCGGGGGAGCTCGTATTACCTACCTCGCTTAGAGCCATTGGTCGTCTGGTGATATTACGAGCGGTATCATGTGACCAATATTTGCTTCAATTTTCATTCACGGGATAGGAAAAGCCTTCTGACGCTTTGCTTTGCTGGCTCCTCTCAAGCCTAGCGCTCATATGCATGCTGTGTGGCTTAAATAGTCCAAGGCCTCAGACCCAAACACGAGCTGTAGTTTGGCCAATAGAATCATGACACAGACCGCTTCTCGAGCCTCGACCGCGCCGCCTTCGACGTGTCACTTTTGCAAAAGAAGAGGCGAGGAGAGAAGATGATCAATAATAGCGAGACAAAAGTTCTCCACACTCAACGCTATCATTTTTCATTGTTTTAGTAGTCCGCACTTTTTGCTGACCACCCTCGTATTTCTCGTCGCTCAGGCATCATCAATTTCTAAAAAGAGAAATCAGAGCGAGAACAATTTGACTCACATTATTCACAAATATGCAAGGATTGGTGGGGCTAACGGTGATTGCGACTGCTCGCCATCGCCGAGGTTGATACCTCCAAACCACATAGTTGGATTACTCTCCAGTATAGAAAAAGACATCCTTGATAAAAGAATGATCTTTAGACTAACTTTCTTGACGTGTTGTCGAGTAATTCTCTTAAACATAGGTTAAAAAACTTTAAATTAAGCCTTGCTGTTGGCTAAAGCAGATGGTGTATATTCTCCCTATGGCCAGAACATGCATGAATCGTGACAACTTTCTGGAAGTTTAAAGTTTAGATTCTTGTATTATTGTCTATTTTTTATGGTTTTAGAGATTCAAAGCTCTAGGCCACAGGTGTGAGTCTTCAACTAGCTACAACGCCACTTCAAAATCCGAAGCAACTAATGTCGTGGAGATTTATAAAAGGGACTTACTTGTTTCTCCTGGATAACAATAAGCTCTTAATGCCTAATTGAACTTCAATAGTATGTCAATGAAATTAATATGGCTGTCACAACATCTCATACGAAACGTCTCCCAGTGTAGCATACTAGGTAGCTTAGTATAGTGTAACCTTCTCCCTTTACTCTGAACGCTAAAGTCGGAAAGCGCTGCACGATATCCAATCGCGCCTTGTCGGAAGACACTTGAGAGCAACTCGCCTCGCTGTGAGCATTATCCTCTCAGGCACTTTATCCCGGCGCCTAGAAAAGCGTGATGAAGTAGTTATGGCATCTCAAGAGATTCTTGCACTTAATGGAAGAACTTCGTAAGTAAGGGTCCCGGAATGACTGAGAACCCTGAATCCATTGACAAGGTGACAAAAGAGCCAACTTGCCGGATAATTTTGGCTTCTGACAACTGAACACGTACTAAGCGACTTTCACGCTTTATTCATTAATTCTTTGGTAACTTTTCTATTTCCCTCATTTATTTTGGAGATCTCTTGTTTGGAAGATTCATGGAGCACGGTAATATGTTGAGAGAAGAGATGCTATTACTGTACCTGCACTCGACTGTATGAGACTTTGCCTTGACTCCCACGAAAAATCGGACTAGCTGAAAACTCTCTTCAGTATGCTTCAAAATAAACTGGTAAAATCCTGGAGCATGTGTATCAAGTTATCTTCGGTGTTAGAAATCATCTGATAAAAGCTTGAGTGGCACAAAACAGCTGTGTTGGTGCGGTTGGACTTCAGAGATAGGCTCTGGTGTTTTTGAGGCGCAGTAAGCAAAGAATGAGACGAGAGTTATCCCGATAAGATAGCTAAAAATTGGGAAGTTTAATAAGGGTAATAGAGAAGATTTCTTTTGTTTCCTAGATGCAGGTTTAGGCGAAGAGCGACGAATTGAATCGTGCATTTTACTTCCCCTTCAACTTACTCAACGTTTAGAACACCTCTAATTCTACAGGGGGTTCTTTCTTTTAACAGTGGTATGAAAATCATCTCTGGGAGCACTGGAAGTGGCCCTTTCCCCGTTGCCTCTATCTTAGTGTGATCCTTGGTCTCTGAACCAAGCCATTGTGGGTCCTCAACCCCTAATAATAATCACCGTGCAAAAATCTACCAGGAGCCAGCCTTGCTTTTGTTTCTCAACCTACAGCCACTTCAGCGCACGACCTCGTATCCTCCAAGCGGCTCTGCGAAAATGCCATCCGCAAGGCGGAAGAAAACTACCGGTCATGGGGGTTTGACCTTTGTTAATGTCCAGCATCCCGACGATCTCAGGCTCAAATGCACGCAGACCGTGATACGAAGCGGCGCGATGGCCGCAATTGGCCTGACGCGACGGAAGCGACCTAGGCCAGTCACCGTCGAACTGGAAGTGAAGGAAGACGCGCAGTGTGGCCAAGATACCCATAGAGATTTGCACGGCTTCGTAGCTAGACGGTCCACTGGCTCGGTCAATGCTGAACCATGGTTGCCGAGCATTGCGGCGGCACTTCCTCACCTAGGCCATTTCGCTGTCGAACCCGACATGAGAGCACGGGAACTCCTTTCATTCAGTGCGTTCACACCCATCCCCTCACCGCTTTGAAGCATTGTTTAACCCTTTTATAGTGGAGGGAGAAGCAAGTTACATCTACCGACCCTTCCGGGCCGAATGGTTCAACATGGCCGTTTTGGAACCCAGCGCCTACTATCTCTGCCTAGCCAATGCGGCAGTATTTCTGAATCAGTTTCTCACGGGTCACGGAGCACTTGAGTACACTGATTGCGTTGAATCTTCCAAATACTATGGCCTGTGTCTGAGCAAGGTCACCGGGCAGCTCGCCGACCAATCCCGTGGCATCACTCAAGGTTTGGTCACGACTGTCCTTGGCTTTGTTTGTCATAACCTGAGTCTAGGAAACTGGGACCGTTGCGACATGCACCTTGAGGGACTGGAGCGTATTATAAGTGCGCGAGGGGGGTTCCACGGTTTAGGTCCTTATGTTCCATACTTTGCTTCTTGGTGAGGAATAACATCTGGCGAAACCAGCCTATCCATGAATATAGCATCAACTAACTAAATCAGGTTCGATGTCAGTAACTCTGCTGTTCATGATCGGCCACCGCGGTTTCTTTCTCCAGGTACGGTAGAAGATGGACCTGCGCAACATGAGACGCTCCCTGAAACTATATCTGATGTCATATCGCAACTTACCCACACTGCTCCTCATCTCTCGAGTCTTGGTGATTGCTTGATGGCACTAGCTCGTGTCGCAAGCTATTGCAAGAAAAGCACGAGCCAGCCAGGTTTTTGGGAAGGGGGGCCCAAAGCAGCGAATCTGATCGGCCCAGTAGCTCACCTTGCGTTGCATCTCCCACGATTTTCTCTTGATCTCCATTCCGCTGAGAAGGTACCCGAACAAGATTTAATCCTCCATGAAGCGGTCCGGCTTGCTATATTGGTCTTTATAGCTGCGTTGAAACAGGCATTCACGCTCCCGGCTGACGAGATTATCTCCTTCACTGGGCGCCTAAAATATACGACTTCCCTTATGGACCGTATATCATGCTTCCCTGAGCTGCGACTATGGGTCAACATAGTGTGTGCCTGCAGTATTAGTCATCAAGTATCACTGCATCAAATATTAGAAATACGGCGCGCTATGCGAGATCTACGCTTGATAGACAGCCAAGATGTTTTTGGTAAAATGGAGGAGCTCCTATGGATTCCTCATCTATTCAAGACTATGGGTAAATTACATATTGACGAGCAGGAGTCCGGGGCTTGCGCTTCAGCAACCAAACTCACGTCCCTTGACAGCTCGTCGGGTTAATATGGCTCCGCGACTGCCTTTCGATGGCATCTCCTCGGTATCAGAAGCATCAGTTTCCGGTAATGCCACCGCTTACTGAGATAGTTTGTCCTGTAACCCATCGGCTCAACTCGGATGTAAGGAGCAGTACTGCGTCGGCAATGTCTTCTGCTCGACCTGCTCTCTCCTCGGCCCGAGTCATAGGGACCAGATGACCGTGGACGGCCTCTTGTATATGCGGCGGCAAACATTCTGTTTTGACTGGCCCAGGCATGACGGTGTTGATTGTGATACCGAATTCTCGTCCCAGCTATACAAGAAGACTGGTTAACTTCTACCCGCTATGCCGTTATGACATTATCAAAAACATACCTGCATGGACACGGCAAATGACAGGGTGTCGAGGGATGCCTTCCCTGCCGCATATAGCGGGCTCGCAGGAGTACCTAGCTTTGAGGAGATGGATCCTATGTTGATAATGCGCCCGCCCCGTGGCATCTTGGGGACCACTTGTTGTATCATGAAGATGGGGCCATACAGCGCTGTTCCCATCAGTGTGTCGATGCCTTCCTTGGTCTCTTGTAATAGTGGCGTGGCCATACCAGCAGCGGCATTGTTCACTGGAGAGCATACCTTATTAGCGATCTCAGGATCAGAGGAAAGAATGGGTCACAAACCTAGAATGTCAATTTTGTCGGTCTGGAAGGCCTCAAGGGTAGCATTGACGAGCTTAGCCGCCCCCTCGGCGGTTGAAATGTTGGCTTGGACCACGGTTGCCCTCCCTCCCACCTCCTCAACTTTCTTTGCGACACCGGCGGCTCGCGTCGCCACAGAGTCGGAGACGTGGTTGATGGTTACACTCGCTCCGTTACGGGCGAGGGCGAGAGCAATGGCAGCACCGATTCCGTTCTCACGTCCAGAGCCGGTCACAATAGCAACCTTGCCAGCGAGGGAGAGTGTGTCGGGAGCCATAATGAGAAAAGATGGAGAGAAGGATAAAGGTCGAAAGTAAATTTGCTTAGAATCTTCAATCTAAGCCGTAGGAATAATTCAGTTCTTGTTATTATGAATGTAGAAGTGGCCAATGACTCAAATGTATCGAGTCTGAGGTGATGTGATTCTTCAGCCTCTTTATACTTGAAGCACCAGCGGGACTCGCACTTTAGAAACTTTCAGCTAGCGAGGAACCGGAAATATCGGCACCTGACGAACTGAAACGTCCACACATCATTGGGCAACTGAAGACATCTTGATGTGCAAACTACGAGTGGCCCATTTGATGACGGGCTGATGGTCCAAGTTTGCTGTCGCTATTCCCAAAGTAGAAAATTGTCATCCCTGCCTGCAGCAGCCGAAAAGGGAAAATGGTGTACCCCTGTTGCAGCTCTGGATTCGAGCCTGAAATCAAACCAACCAGCGCTAAATTAGCGAGGCTGGTGTTAGATTCACGAATACAGCTCTCATTCAGGTTATTAATATAATTAATCTTACGCAGTTATATATTATAATATTGTAACTTAATAGTGTTGTAGTGTTATCAAAATTAAGTATTATAGAAGACTAAAGGGAGGTCATTTGGCGCTACTCGAACCTCTGTCCCAACTTCTTCATCCCGCAGTCCATTGAGCATGACACTACAGTTTACTTGCAATGTTTCATATCCAAGTATACATCGGGACGGTTAAAGGATATGTCAATCAGCCGCTCCAATTCCCAAGGATAGACTGCATGAAATTGTAAAGAATGTAGATCTGCCTTAGAGAAAGATAATTATGTGTACGAAGCTGAGTAATACGGAAAAGGGCCTCCTGCGCTAGCGGTATTATTTGAATCTCATGATCCTGATAATTACTAATTCAAAGAGGACTGTCGTAAGGGCTTATGTTAGTAGAGGGTATACTGCTGATTGAATGAGCAATAAATATTTAATAAGAACTCTCCATTACTCGATCTAGAGGTATATAAGATTTTGCTTGAATAATAAACTGTAGTTAAGAATATGTAGTTTTTTTACACGAGCCCAATATTCAACAGAATCTTTATTCAAAGATGAGTCTCCATTTTTGATACCACTTCTCGGCCGGCAAAGCAGGCTTCTCTTGCAAGATAATTTCCTCGACCCCGGTGTGTAGATCGACCTCCTCAGGGCGTAGGGCAATCCTGTCCTTGGCTCCGACAGTCAACTTGTGGCCAATATAGAGCACTGCAAAAATCGCAACCCCAATATATGATGTGATGAAATCGGCAACACTCCAATATCCATGCACGAAAACCTTGAATCCATTCACGACGAGCAAAATGCTGAACCCAATGCCACTAACCCATGCTGCGTACGGCTGAAGGCGAGACCGAAAGGGGATATCAGTGACTGCCTGGGCCTCCGTGGCCTTTCGAAAGCGAATGTAGATGATGCAACAGCATATCCAGCTTTGGAACGCTCCAGTATTGATCAGGTTGGCCATCCAGTTGAAGACAGCAGAGCCCGAAGCAGCCACATTCAGATATGCCAAGGCGCTGAAGGAGGCACTGAGGGCGGTGGCATAGTATGGCACTCCTGACTTGGAACATCGGCTGAAAATAGCAGGTGCGTGTCCAGCGACCGACAGAGAGTAGAGGGCTCGGCTGGCGAGGTACAGGTATGAGTTACCGGCAGACCACGCGGAAAGAACAATGACGGCGTTGATGACCGAATCAAGGACTTTGATGCCAGCATCGCGAGCACCGATAGCCCATGGAGATGCTGCGGCCCCAGAGCCCGGGGATAGGAGATCCTTGTTATTGCTAGGCACGATAATTCCAATGGCAATAGCACCGAGGATGTAAAATGTGATGAGGCGAAAGAAGTAGCGAATGGTTGCCTTGGGAATGTTCCGTCGCGGGCTTTCCATCTCGCCACCAGTGATGACAAGAAGTTCTGGAGCAAAGCCAAAAGCGTAGACGGAGAATGTTGTACAGCCAACAAACGCGGCGAATTTACCTACTGCGCCGTCAACCAAGTATGCATTAATAGGGCCCGGGTCGTTCCAATATCTAAAGTAGAGCGGATCATGGTTCGGTCCTCCGCCAAAGAAGAGCACAACTGCCATGATGAGAAGTCCCAAAATACCAATGACTTTCGTTGACGCGAACCAAAACTCCGTTTCACCGTATACGCGAACTGGGAGACAGTTGCACAGGATGATGACAGCGCCGACAATGGTTAACCAAACAGCGTTATGCACAGGAGGGTTCCAATAGTCGATGACTAGAGCGGTGACATTGATCTCAGCCGGCACTGTGATAGCAAAGATATACCAGTAAACCCATCCAAGTGTGAATCCCAGGCTTCTAGAGACAAATCTAGAACCATAGTAAGACACAGAGCAACCGGGAATCGGGAGGTAGCTGGACATTTCTCCAGTTGCCGTCGCCACACCGTAAAGAAGAACCGTGATGGTGCTATAAGCAAGCAAAAGGAACAATGGTCCACCCATTCGCAAGACCTGTCCAGATCCGACGAACAGGCCGGTGCCAATTGTACCTCCGAGAGCTATCATTTGAGCATGGCGCGACATCAGGCCACGTTTGGTTTCCGCATTTTGATTGGGCGTTGAGTCGACTTCTCCATGCACGACCGAGGACTCATATGTAGTCTCGTTGGGGGACTTTTCCTTTGAAGATTCCGAGGGACCAGGAGGGTTCATTGAGACAGACATAGCATAGAGTTTGTGAATGTTCGAGAACTAAGAGACTATGAAACAAGCGTATAGAATAGTTACCAGCTTGGTATTCTTTCAGATTGTCGAGACAGTTGTAGTCCTTTATATCCCCCAGTCTCATCTCAGGTGCATGAAGCATTCGGCAAGCGTTTAGTTCGAACCGTGGAGACCTGCCGCAAGAGTAACGAATGACTAGACAAGCATAGTGGCTGACACAAGGATACAGAGATAAAACTCCACCTTACCCGTCCATTGTTATCAAGATAGGTTGATATTACCCCATCCCTCATCTGGAATATCTCTTTGGACCAGGCTATCCTGAAGTGAGCCTAGCCAAAAAGAAATGCTGAGCTATGATAATAGGGTTTCATGATAAGATTACTATCTCAAGGCCTCTCTTTTAGGATGTTCCGTGCCATGTGACAGTTTCCCCGCACGGTAGGATCCCTTTTTGGGGCTACTTGGTATCCATGGGTCATATTAGATGCTCATGACGGATCCTTCCCTTGCTTCCCC